GGAGAGAGCGGCGGGGGGGCGCTGGGGGATTGCCGGTGCCGGTGCCGATCGCGCGGTTCTGCCGAGCGCCCGCCGCTCCCCCGCACAAATCGGGACCTTCCGACAGCTGATCGTGACGTCACAAAGCGGCCCGCCCGCCGACGGGTAAACGGCCAATGGGAGGCGGCACCGGGAGGGCGGGATCGGTGGGGAGGGAGGGCACCGCCCACCTCGAGCGCGGGGTCTCGCTTCGGGGGGGGTCCACTATGGGGACGGCGGCTCCCGGGGGCAGCTCAGCCCGGAGCCGCCGCCGCCCCCACTGCCCCGCTCAGCCCGGGAGCCGAGGCGGCGGGCAGCGGAGCGGCCCCGAACGGGGGGGGATCCCGCTCCGGGGGCCTGGGGGGCCCGGGCTTGGGGGGCCACAGGCCCCCGCGCGCTGGCTGCGCCCGGGCTCCTTCCCTGCCAGAGGCCAGGGGTGGGCAGCGGGAGAGGGGGGACAGCGGCCCCGGCCTTCCCGGGGAGCGGCCCCCCCGCACCGGCTGGACACCCGTTTCCTTCTCCCTGTTGCGCTGAGGAGGCCTCGTTCAAAGAGCAACTCTGATGGGCCACAAATGAGAGGGTCGAAGGTGAGGGGCACGCAGCCTTTTGCCCGCCTTCAAAACAAGTGGGGGTTCGGAGGCACAGCTGGTACCTGCGGGCCGTCACCGGGACCATCCCGTGAGCATTGGGCAGCCCCCGAGATGCTCGGCAGCTCCAGGATCACCTTTGTCCTCAGCACGGGCTGACCATGGGACCGAGGTTTGGTTTGACGTCGTGCCGAGCTTGTCACACGGCAGGAAATTGTCCATATAAAGATAGAACATTTATTAAAACAGTCATTAATAGAGCAGTTTAAGCATCTGAGTCATGCATGTTACAGTTAGGACTCATCTGGCATCACAGGTGAGAATTCCCCATCACAAATTCACACGAGGCAGAATTTAATTGAGTCTTACTCAAAATTAAATAACATTTAGTCTACTGTAATTGAAGGATCTTGCAGAAGGGTGTAAACTATCTCAGGAGGAGAGCTGCCACCTGGCAGAGCTCTTACCCTCCTTCACCAGGAGGGGACCAGAAGCCCGTGAAGCTTGAAACATTTCTAAGCAGAAAATCCACTCATTTGGGATGTCCGTAGAGGGCATTTCCAGCTGACAAGGGCATTTTCAATTAATGCCACAAAGAGCTGGAGGTGCTTAGTGCCGCTGGGCGTAGCGGTGGAGGCATCTGCAGGAGACACCCAGAAGTTAGGGCGTAACGCACACTTGACCCCCAGTCTGGTCCCTGCTTGAAGACAACAGCTCGTGCTTCTGGAGGGGTTTCGTTTTGCTGCTTTTATTAGTACTTGTTTGGCAAGGAGGGATTACAACATGGCTCTTACTGGCTGCAGCAGGAGTGCAGAAATCAACCTTTAATCCCGCTGCCATACAGGAGTGGATATAAATAAATGCATCAGAACAAATCTTGCTAGGGTTAAACTTCTTCCAGGGTAAATGGTCCCATTCGCAATGGCATGTCCCCAGAAGGGCTGGTTTAATGGGATGACCCTCTCTCCCCATTGGGATGGGAAATGCTTTGGCCTCTGCTGCACCCTGCCCTGGTCTTTTACTGCAAAAAAAAGGGAGGCAGCCCCCCTCCCAGCGCAGTTTTTAGCCGCAGTGATTCATTGCTGGGGGGAAGCTGCTGCAAACACAATAAAGCAGAGGAGCAAGCTTTGCACTGGCCTGGAGCAGTCAGCAGAGGTTGCTGGTGGCTGCTGGGCCTGGCTCTGGGTGCTGTGGTCGATGGGCCCAAGCAATGGTTGACAGCCGTGTCTATGTGGCAGCAGGAAATGGTGACTTTAATCTCGCCAGTGCAGGGAACAGCAGTCAGGAAGCTGTGGTTGCTCAGCCCTCAGTGACTAAGCTACCACCCTGAGCTGGGGTCCATGTCCCTCTGCCCTCTTCAGTCCCTGGGGACAGCAGTGTCAGTTGATACTGAATAAGGGAAAGAAAACCACAGTGACTTCTCTGTGGCATCCTGGGGTAGGATGCAGGGACACCCACCATAACAAAGGGGATGACCTGACTTTGGCTCCTGGATGGCCCTGGCCATCAGGTCACTGAGGAAAGTCACACTGGAGAGGGTGAGCAGGCAGCTGACTGCACATCACCTGCCCGCAGGTAATGGAGAGGTAGCTGTAGCCTTGGTATGTCACAGCATGAGGCTACACCAGCAGGCACCTCAGGCTCTGCTGCTCAGGTGCGTAACCAGCAGCACTCTGTATTCAGGTGACTGTTGAAAATAGGATGGTGATCACGTTGGCTTCTGCTTCACCCAAGAGGTTTTGGGAAGCAGCGCTGATAGCTCTTGGCAAGGTGCAGGGCCGGCATGTAAAGCATGTGCTTTGTTTCACCAACAAATGGCATGCAAATCAGTCAGGGCTCTCATTATTTGCCCATCCTTTATTAAAAAAAAAAAAGGATGCTGGGTCCAGCTACCCAAAGCTTCTAAAAAAATAGGAGATCAGGAAATAATAGCATGACTGGATCTTTGCAAAGCCCTCCAAGAACACGTCTCCAGCGTTCAGGATGGACTGAGCAAGGGTGTCCCAGGGTGTCTTTCCAGCCCCAGCTGTCTGCTCTGGTTTCTTTGCAGGTCCCTGGGGTCACCTCGCTGCATCCTGAGCAGATGGTGGTCCTGGCATCCCTGGCATGAGTTTTTCCCCTGGCCCAGGGAGCACTGCCTCAGTCATTTCTCCTGGTGATGCTAGAGTCACACAGGTAACTGATGAGCACCATGACAGAGCATTTCACAACCGTGGCCCTGTATGTCCTGGGGGTATGGATCAACAACAGGCTGAAGTCCTCGCAGCTCCCAGGTGCCTGCAGGCCACAATAGATTTGAGCCATGTGGCTTGCCACCATTTTATGATTTGTGTGCTCATCATTTGAGGCTGGGAAGAGCAGTTAATGAAGAGGTACGTGTGTGATGTACAGAGACAGTCCTTAAACACACACTCTGCATGAAACAACAGAGACCAGGAAAATGAAATGAGCAGAAGCTGCTTTCTTCCTCCCCAGAAGGACACCCTGTCCCGGCCACCCCCATTCCACTGTAAGCCCTTGGGGTGCCGACTCCAGGGGCCTGGGGTGTGCCCAGAAACCCTGACACCCATCCAGCCCCAGTGAAGGGGACTGGGAGGTGCCACCAATAACCCATATCTCCAGTGTCTGGGTGTCTGCCATGCTTCAGCTCCTCAGGCTGCTATCTCCATGCTGCTTGTCCCTTGGGATGGCTTTGCCTGGGAGCTCCTGCCTGAAGTTGTTTTTTCTGTGTCCTAGATCAAGAAAAGGCAACATATGCTGTTTTACATCATTAAAAATCCTCATCACTCTCCTTATGAGCAGCTCTGGCTCCTTGAGTAGTGGCACCAGGGACAGGAGGTGTGCTCATGGGTGTCAGCTCTGCCTCTACTTACTCTTCTCAAAATTCACTTAAACTGGCCAAAACTACCAGGCCCTGAGACATCTCAGTGGAGTCTTGCTGGGTTTTAGTGGCCAGAGGAAGATCCATCAGTAAAGGGCCCAGCATGGGTTCTCCCACTGCCCTGCTCCCCCAGAGATGCCCAAGACCTTGCTGGCCCAGGTGGACTCCATCCCAGGTCCATGGGACTCCACAGCAGTGCCTCCTCCCTCTTCCCTTCTCCTCCTCTCCACTGGCATCAAAGGGACACTGGCAGGGAAACCCAACCATGCTTGGCCAGACACACACACAGGTGAAGGGTTAGATTCAGTCCCTGCAGGAGCCAGGACTGTGTGGACATGGTGTGGCTTAGGTGTTCATTAAATTGGAGTTGTTACAACCTTTGCTCACTTGCTGTCTGGTGGCTGGGACCCCATGGCTCCCAGCACGGGGCTTTGCAGCCTTCACCTGCCCTTGCTCCACTGCCGGCACTGGCTCCCAGCCTCTGGTGGGCACGGAGACCTCTGCCTACCCATCCAGCCCATGCTGGAGAAGAGCTATGAGGCTCCTCAAACTCTGTGAGGAGCCGGGCACTCAGGGAACCTGTGATTATTTCAAGGCTGGGGACAGATCCTCCATGGGGACACCTCGTATGCCTGTGGGATGGGGACAGCGATGTGCTCTTCAGTGGGCAGGAGCTGCTCTGTGCTGCTGAGGCTGGACAAGAGACACCAGCCTGAGCGAGGTGCGGAGGGGATGGATGCCGATCACACCTACAGGGAAGCCACAGCCCTCTAGCCCCAAGAAACCTCCTTGTGCAGCCAGTAGATACCCACAACCCGCATGGCACCCGGGGGTGCGGGGGAGAGACAGGGGCCTGGCTCACTGGCCTTCCCCAGCCGCTCTGCCCAAGGAGCAAGCAGCAGGCAGGCTTCACACCGCACTTTTGTCCTGGAGGAATTCCCCATCACCTGAGATGGGGATGGTCCATCACATGAAGAGCTGCAGCCCCAGGCCTGGGATTTGCCGGAGGCTCTGAGTGTGGCTTTCTAGCAGTGAAGGAGCATGGAGGAGTTTACCTAGAGCAAATAACCATGAGAGCACTCTGAGAATGACCACAGCCAGGAGGTGACCTCACTTGAAAGAAATCTAGGTGTTATATTTACACTTCTCTGACAAAAAGACCTATTTCCCAAAGATGAACGTGGTACAGATGTTTTGCATTCATTACAAAAAAATGGATTTGCTTCTATATTTAGAATTTGGGTCACCAGCAGCTTTCTGCCAGGAGATACCAAAACATCTTTTGAAAACAGGGTTGCTAACTGACTTTCGGCCAGGCAGTGGTGTCCCCTTGGGAAGGCTGCCCAGGGAGGCAGATACTTTGGGGGAGTCATCAGGGGAGAAGTTGGCCACCTTCCGCAGCAGCACCCAGCCGGGGTGGGGTGTCCCTCCCAGCTGGGAACACTGCAGAGAGCCCATTGCCATGAGCAGCCCCATGTGACCTGAGCCCAGGAGCTTTC